AAAAAGAAGATAAATAAAAATAAAAATGAAAACAAAAGTGAAAGAGTCACATACCAGATATCGTAGCAAGACAAAGGTGAAATCTGAGTTATGAGCAAGGTAAATTCCTTAATTCTGATCCTTGATATGTGATCTGTGTGCGTGATTAAAATGTTTTTGGCTTTTCTTTCGTTTCTTTTGTTTTTGTGTTTTTTTTTATTTTGTGAGAGTTGTTAAGTGTTCGTGTGCGAGTGGGATTGACAGTATGCGAAGGATTAGGGATTTATACCTGGACGTTTTGCGGTGGGCAAGTGGTCGCATAACTCATTATGCGGTCGCATATGTGTTATGCGATGCGTTTAGAGCTGAGTTATTTTACCTCCATTCTGCGATGAATTCTGCGGTCGCATAACGTCTATGCAGACCGCATAACTTAAACTCTTACCGCAGTTTTCATACCCAAGTTCCCCAAATTCTCTGACCGTATTTGCGACAACTATGCGGTTCGCAAAGTCATTATGCGACCGCATAGTTGCCGAAAGCCCCTGATCCACCATTTTTTTGCTTTAGTCTTTGCACTCTATTTCATGGTAAATTGGGCTACCTGCACTCTAATACACACGTCAACCTATTAAATCACTCACAACTAAAATAATAATAATAATAATAAAATAATTTTACCACACATGGGTTGCCTCCCAAGAAGCGCTTGTTTTAACGTCGCGGCATGACGATGTTGGTCCCCTTTTGGGCTACTCAGTGGTGGGGGTCGAACTATCCTTGAGAGAAATTTGCTCTATCAAGTGCTTGTCTCCTGTTATGCCCAGGTAATGCTTAACCTGTTGTCCATTTACTTTGAAAGTGCGAAGTCCGTCTTCCGACTCTAATTCAATAGCATCGTAAGGGGATACATTCACAATTTTAAATGGGCCAGACCATTTGGATTTGAGTTTGCCCGAAAATAACTTGAGTCTCGAGTTGAAGAGCAAGACCAAGTCGCTAGATTTGAATTCCCATTTCAAGATATTCTTGTCATGAACAAACTTCATTTGTTCCTTATACATGGTTGCACTCTCATAGGCATGGAGACGGAAATCTTCCATTTTGTTGAGTTGTGTCATTCTCAGATTAGCAGCTTCAGCCCAGCCAAGATTTAACCTTTTCAGAGCCCACATGGCTTTGTGTTCAATCTCCACGGGCAAATGACACACCTTACCAAAGATTAACCGATACGGTGAGGTGCCAATGGGAGTCTTAAATGCGATGCGATATGCCCACAATGCATCCTCTAGCTCTTGACCAGTCGGTCCTGTTTGCATTGACAGTTTTTGCTAGGATGTTTTTAATCTCTCTGTTGAAAACTTCAACTTAACCACTCGACTAAGGATGATAAGGCATGGCCACCTTGTTCTTTACGCCATACTTTTCGAGCAGCCCGGTGAAAGCCTTGTTGTAGAAATGAGAACCGCCATCACTAAGGATGGCTCGGGGAGTACCAAACCGCGTGAAAATGTTCTTCCTTAAGAATGCGGTCACACTCCTTGCCTCATTGTTGGGCAAGGCGATTGCCTCAACCCACTTGGAGACATAGTCCACTCCCACCAAGATATATTTCATGCCACAAGAACTCACAAAGGGACCCATGAAATCAATCCCCCATACATCAAAGATCTCGACCTCCATTGCAAACTTCATAGGCATCTCATGCCTTTTAGAGATTGATCCTTGCCTTTGACATTTCTCACAAGCCTTGACCATTTGATTCGCGTCATGGTAGATAGATGGCCAATAGTAGACACATTCAATCACTTTCGTGGCCGTCCGATTTCCTCCATGATGACCCCCAACCGGGGAGTCATGGCATGCTTTGAGAATTGGCATTACTTCATCTTTCGGAACACATCGCCGAATGATGTTGTCGGCACAAATATGAAACAAGAAGGGCTCTTTGATCCTTGACTTCAAAGTCAAACTCTTGCAACAAAAGGACCCATCGAATCAATCTTGGCTTCGCATCCTTATTTGCCATAAGATAGCAAAGAGCAGCATGATCAGTGTAGACTATCACCTTGGATCCTAACAAATAGGCCCGAAATTTTTCAAAAGCATAGACAATGTCGTTGACCAAGCACCGCCCCAATGGCTACACAACTGGCATCACACATGATTTCAAATGGAAGAGACCAATCCGGTGTGACAATAATAGGTGCCGTGGTGAGATTTTCTTTCAACTCCTCAAATGCTTTGAGACACTTTTCATCAAATACGAACGTAGCATCTTTTTCAAGGAGCTTGCACATGGGGTTTGCAATTTTTGAGAAGTCCTTGATAAAATGCCTATAGAAGCCGGCATGCCCTCATCCACCATGAAGTGGCACTTTTCCCAATTTAGTAAAAGGTTTGTTTCTTCACATATTTTGATCACTTGTCTCAGGTTTTCAAGACAATTCTCAAAGGAATCACCCACTACAGAGAAGTCATCCATAAGCACTTCTAGGAAATCTTCCACCATGTCCGAGAAAATTGATATCATGCACCGTTGGAAGGTAGCCGGAGCGTTGCATAGCCCAAATGGCATCCGGCTAAAAGCAAAAGTCCCATATGGGCATGTGAATGTTGTCTTCTCCTGATCTTCCAATGCAATGTTGATTTGGTTTTAGCCGGAGTATCCATCCAAAAAGAAATAAAATGACCTTCCCGCTAGCCGATCAAGCATTTGATCAATAAAAGGCATAGGGGAATGGTCTTTGCAAGTGGCACTGTTGAGATTCCGATAGTCCATGCAAACTCTCCATCCGGTCACAGTCCTTGTTGGGATGAGCTCATTTTTCTCATTTTGGATAACGGTCATGCCTCCTTTCTTTGGCACACATTGCACCGGGCTCACCCAAGAACTATCGGCAATGGGATAGACTACCTCGGCGTCTAACCACTTGATGATTTCCTTCTTCACCACCTCCTTCATGGACGGGTTTAACCTTCTTTGGTGCTCCACACTAGGTTTGCTTCCTTGCTCCAATTGTATTTTGTGCTCACAGATTCTGACGGGAATCCCTCGAATGTCCGCTATTGTCCACCCAATGGCTTGTTGATGTTCCCATAGGACATTCAATAAATGATCTACCTGCACCTCATTCAACAAGGAAGAAACGATTACCGGTAAAGTATCATTAGAGCCAAGAAATTTATACCTTAAGTGTGGTGGAAGTGCCTTGAGTTCAAGTTGTGGCGGCTCAATAATTGAAGGCTTTGCTGGGGGAGTGGCTCTATTCTCTATGTCAAGGGAAAGCTTCTTTGGTGCATAAGTGTAAGACCCACGTCCTTCTAATGCATTCATTGATTCCAAGTACCCCTCCATGTTTTCACCATTGAAATTTACCAATATCGCCGCCAAAGCCTCAGCTAGGCATTCTTCTTCCATCTTTATTTCACTTGCGTCCTCTACCTCATCAACAACATCAATGACTGATATGCCTTCATATGCATGTGGAAACTTCATACCCTTACTTGCTTGGAAGGTGACATCTTCATCATTAACTCGGAACTTGATTTCATTTCGTTTCGAATCCATAAGTGCTCTTCCGGTAGCAAGGAATGGCCTCCCCAAGATGATAGGGATTTATATGTCAACGGCACAGTCAAGGATTACAAAATAGGCCGGAAGAGGAACTTTCCCACTTTCACTAGGACATCATCAATAATTCCCACTGGTCTTTTGATTGAACGATCGGCCATTTGCAATCTCATGCTTTTAGGTCTCAGCATGCTTAACCCCGTTTGCTTGTAAATGGCAAGAGGCATCAAGTTAATGCTAGCCCCATTTTCACAAAGAGCCCTTGCAAAATCTCGCAAGCCAATAGTGCATGGAATGGTGAATGCTCCCGGGTCTTCTTTCTTTTCAACGGTGGTTGTTGCAATAATGGAGCTAACCGGGTGAGTAACATTCACTACTTCATTCGTGGTGGTTCTTTTCTTGGTTATCAAGTCCTTTAAGTATTTAGCAAAACCTGGCATCTCTTGAAAGGCTTCCACAAATGGTATGTTCACCGACAATTGCTTGAGAATGTCATAAAATTTCTCGAATTTGCTATCATCAACCTTCCTAGAAAGTCTTTGAGGGAACAGAGGGGAAGGTCTAGGAATTTGTGCTAGATCTTTTGGTGCCTCTTTCATCTTTACCTTTTCATGATTTTCTTCTTGGACTTTTACTCCTTTTGGGAGCTTTTCAACTTCAATAACAATCGGCACTTCGACTTGTGCTTCAACCTCTTGCTCAAGATCATCTACTCCAACAATTTTTTCGTTTCCTCCTTGAAGTACCTTACCGCTTCGCGTGGTGATTGCCATGCAATGAGAAGTTGGACCACTCCCATTTCCTTTAGGGTTTGCAATTGTGTCACTTGGGAGTGTGCCATTCAGCTTTGGGTTATGCTCTCTTGACAAATCTCTCATTTGCATTTCTAGCTTTTGTATGGATGCGGTGTGTGACCCCACAAGTTCGGACATGTTTTTCATTGTAGTGTCGCCTCTTTCTTGATTTTGCAATATTCTTTCAAGCATTCTCTCCAACTTGGACTCACTTGAAAAACCTTTCTTATAATGCGAGGAGTTAGAGTATTGCCCCTTTGGTGGAACATAGGGGTTTGAACTCCGGTTTGCATAGTTGTTGTTGTTATTGCTCCAATTACCTTGACTTGATCCACCTTGATCATTGCGCCACTATTGATGGCCTTGCCCTTGCAGGTTAGGCCTCCATTGATTATGTTGGCGATAACCACCTTGAGAATTATGGACATAATTCGCCTCCTCGCAATCTTCGATTGACCAGGGTTGCACATCTTTCACAGCATTTACCTTTTTAGTTTGGTTTTCAGTGAACATCTTGGTTAACACATTAATGTTTGTGGCAAGACTAGCAATTACTTGATATCTCTCTTGATTCTCCTTAATCATGTTGGTCAAAGAGGGAGTACCGTATGCAATTCCACCCGTGGTATCTTCCGAGTTCCAAGCTTGATTGTGTTCTGCCATCTTTTCGAGAATTTGTGTGATCCTTGTGAATGTTTTATCCATAAAAGATCCATCCGCAGCATTCTTTGCTATGGATTGGTTCAACGGATCCAAACACATGTAAAACTTTTCTAACAAGATTTTTTCTGGAAAACCATGATTAGGCGACCTCACTAGGTATAGCTTGAACTGATCCCATGCCTCATGTAGGTGTTCTCCCGGTAGTTGCTTGAAAAAGAAAATTTTATCCCTGAGCTCGAATTTCTTGCTTTGTGGGAACCATTTGGCTAGGAAAGCACGAACTAGTTCAGGCCAAGAATGAATGGAGTGAGCTGGTAGAATTTGGATCCATTTCCTTGACTCTCCAACTAGTGAGTACTTGAATACCCTCAGTCTTAGGGAATCATCTGACACATTGTTCTATTTGTGCATCGGACACACACCCAAGAAGTTTCTAAGATGTTGTGTTGGATCAACATCGGTAGAATTTCTAAAAAAATCCTTCTGCTTTAAGCATTAGGATCAAACCATGTTCCACTTTGAAGGTAGCAGCGTCAACTCGCGGAGGGACAATGGCATTTGTGTCCTCAATGTACTCATCTATATCCGCAAAAGGATTTTCTTCTTCGTCATACTCTAACATATTTATCTAGCACACCAAGCAAATCAAGCAAATCAAGCAAAGTGTGATGGAATAAAATGTGAAGTAAAGCACACACCAAATCATAATTTCAAAACCGTATTCCCCGGCAACGGCGCCAAAATTTGATACGCTCAAATTACACCTTAATAATTAGTGTAAAGCGGTTGATGTCAAATATAATAACCCAACTAGGTTGGGGTCGAATCCCATAGGGAATAGGTGTGAAAAGGTTACTTGAGTAGTGTGAAACTTGACTTAATTTGTAATTCTATTCCGTTAGTTAAAAAGAATGTTGCAATTGAGTGAAATGAAGACAAGTAGAATATTGTGAGGTTGTAATTAATTTGATTAAGGAAACCAAGATTGTGTCCCCATTGATGTAATGTAATGCTATCGGTGTTAATATGATATATTTCTAATGGAAAGTCCTTTGATATGCAAATGGTTTCTAAGTGACTACCCACTATTTCCCAATAGTTGAGTAATATCTACTCTTCAAGATTTTCCCAAATGTAAAAGAGTTTCGATTGAAAATAACCAACTTATGCCAAATAGAACCCACTTATTCCTAGGCGATTCCATTAAACAAGGGTTAAAGCCTTGAGTTTTTGGTATTCAATTCTACCAAACCTTAGCCCACTTTTCCAAGTGAAGATAGAGTGAAATGCAATTAGTTAATGTTTGCAACCACTAACATCACATGAAGCATAAGAACTGAATAAATATCAACCAACCATTATGTATATATTCAATGGTAAAGACCCATTAACATTACACCCATCTAGGGTCCACAACCTTAGTAATTAAAACTAGCTACTCACACTGAAATCTAAGAACAAAGCAATAAATAGAGTCATAAAGCTTACAAACATACAAGATTCTTCCTCCAAAAATCTCCAAAACAATGGTGCATTCAATGCTCTAAAAATAATCTCTTTTTCTGACTTAGCTGCCCCACAAAAACCCTAATAAATCTATTTATAGTGGGCTAAAAGTCGGAGCCAAAATTGGACAAAAGTAACCCTGCAAATAGTTTATGCGACCGCATAGTGGTCGCAGATCACGTATGCGGTCCGCATATTATTCAAAATCATCGCATAATCTCATGTCTCCAACCCAACTCTTGACCGCATTCCAATTATGCGGTCTGCATATACATTATGCGACCGCATATTCCTCCGCATAAGTGCTTCTCAGCTTTTTTGATTTCAGTTATGCAATCACTATGCGGTCTGCATAATAGTTATGTGACTGCATAATGGGTCGCATATTTTTCTCTTCAGTTAACCAACAATCTACGTCAGTCTGCGATGGGAATGCGGTCCGCATATGCTTTATGCGACCGCATACTTGCATCATTTCTGCCCTTTTATGGCTTTTTGACTTCTTTTCCATATTTTTTGGTCCTCAAGCCTCATGCATTGCAAAACACCAAAACTTCAGAAGATTTAAATAAAAATGCATTAAAAGATGAGCTAAAGTCTATGTAATTGGTATCAAATGAGCCGAAATTCTACAGCACATCACTCCCCTCCCCCCTGGATAACTGAACCAAGGTACTTAAAGCTGCGTCTACTCGGGATGACCTGTGAATCAAGCCTCACATCCACGCCCACTTCCCCTGGCTCAGTGCTGAACTTACACTCCAGGTATTCTGTCTTCGTCCTGCTGTGCTTGAAACCCTTAGGCTCAAGAGCCTGTCTCCAAACCTCCAGCCTCTCGTTAACACCGACTCGCGACTCATCAATTAGAACTATGAAAATTTATACTCTGTCATATTCATTTCATTGCATATCATATCTCAGTCTCTGTTGTATTTATTGATACATCATATCATCATTTTCGAGCTATTTTCATTACATTGTGATCCCATGAGAGAGAGACTGGAGAGATTGATGACCGAAGAAGGTCGAGGGCCTGATCGGGGTTGACCACCTGCAGCAGGCCTTATAGGCTTTATATAGCATGTGAGTTGTCCGTGCGGTTTATAGCGCTTGGGCTGAAGGAGCCCCTCCGGAGTCTGCACACACCCCCAGTGAGCGCGGTTGATATTATTGAGGGATGGATTTTTCCTAGACATGGATCTTGTCCGAAGTATTATATACCTGGAGATAGATTTTCTCCACGGGCTGGATTGGCCCTACTTGGTACTGAGTGACTGATGATAAGTTGATGTGTATATTCCGGGATGGATCTTCCCTGGGCCGGATTGGCCATATACAGTACCGAGTGATTAAGCATGATGAGTGGAATGTGTGAGAAAGTGAGATTGAGTATTTTCAGAGTGTGAGTACATGAGTTCATCTATGAGATACATTGCATTGACATGCACACATGACATACATGCATAGAGATGTATTTTTCTCATGATGTACGGTATCATATCATTCATGATTTCTCGCATATGTTGACAGATGGGCATAATGATGCATTTGTTTTACACTGGTTATCTGGAAAGAAATGAAACATCTTATTTATTATTGAAAGGATTTTGGGAAAATTATGGTTTTCAAACTTATTCATATTTTTGGCAACTTCGGTAAACGATTCGGGTTTTCATCGATGTTTTTGAAAGGCAGAACTATTTTCAGAAATCATGATCGTTGAGTTATTTCTGGTATTATTTGTTTTATATTGTTATGAACTATTGTTGGTTATAGAAGTTGGACTCTAACCTTGGTACAAGCTCGTCACTACTTTCAACCTAAGGTTAGGTTTGTTACTTATTGAGTACATGGGGTCGGTTGTACTTATACTACACTTCTGCACTTTGCGTGTAGATATTGGATGTCGATGTTGTTGTACTCGACGGGAGCTGGAATTGAAGACGTACCTGCATTCCGGTTGTATCTGCCTCTTGTTCATGGTAGCCTAAGATTTATAAGAATCTGTTTATGTACATTTTGAACAGATGATGTATTTATTTCATACCAGCTTTGTATACTCTATTCTTAGAAGCTCATGATTTGTACTACCAGTTCTTGGAGAAATGTATTAGTTTTATCTATTTTTTCTAATTAATTGCCTTATTAATTTCATTGGAATTGGATAGTTGGTAATTGTCTTACCTAGCGGGTTGGATTAGGTACCATCACGACTAGTTGGATTTTGGGTCGCGACAAGGTGGTATCAGAGCTCTAGGTTCATAGGTTCTACAAGTCATGAGCAAGTGTCTAGTAGAGTCTTGTAGATTGGTATGATGACGTCCATACCTATCTTCGAGAGGCTACAGGGCATTTAGGATATATACTTCCCATCTTTCCTTCCTTATCATGCGAAATTGATTCACCTTGAGACATAACTCTTTAAATTCCTTCCACGTATTCGTATGTGCACATGAGCGCTCGGTATCAGCCGTGCATCGCTGGCTTGTGATTCTATAAACGAGGTTCAAGATATGTATTCTGTGTTTTGGTGATGGGCCAGTCTAGAGGACTTGAGGCCATGGTTAGACCGCAGCTTAAGCTCGATAGCTTCTGTGGAACTTGTGGCTCGATGAGAGGTGGAATGGCCTTGTGATGAGTATGATGTAACCGCGGGATGTGTTAAGACGATTTGAATGTGACGAGAAGTGTTTTGGGCGCTTGATATTTCTTTTTTGATGTGACGTACAGTCTCGAGTGTGAATGTTTTGAAAGATCTTTCACGTTTTTACATTTTGGGCAAATTAAGTTCTCGTGTTTGGTTAATGAGTTTGGACTCAGAAAGATTAAGTGATTTCATAGTAATTGTAACTGCGAAAGGGTATAACAAGATACCAATTTGAGGCTAAGCAGGTGGATTATCCCCTGCGGAGTAATCTACA